GATTTCCCCTGCTGACGTTGTACCACATGCGAGCCCGCAGAAGGAATTTTTGGACAAGCGCCTCTTAGACTTTTCTTCAGAAAAAACAAAGTAGACATAGCAATAAATATTGGGTTGTCCGAAAAATTTCCGCAGATTTTTGATTAATCTTTGAGTGAAAATTCCTAGAAGGAGAAACCCGGTGACTAAATTTCATAACCTCCATTCTGTTCAGAAAGATTCGCCATCTTCCTGTAGGTTCTATTTTCCCACTTTCATAGAAGGCTCCAGAGGTAAAATCGAAAAACTCTCTCAGGTGCTTTTTGCAGTCCTCCAGGGGATTGAACGGTTTTCCATTCAAAGAATTTCGCAGAAACCTAAACAACTGGTATTCTGATGGTGCTATGTCCGGACTATATGGGGGGTGTGGTAAGATATCCCACAAGCTTAGGCAATTTTGGACGAGTGGCCAAAAATGCATGTGTTCTGGAGGTACCCTGTTGTAAGATTACGCCCCCACGATTGACCAGTTCGAGTCGTTTCTGGTCTATCGCTGTCCCAAAATTTTCTAGCTAGCTATAGAACCTTTTCAAAGTCATCGTATGATTATGCGAAAACAGCCCATGGTAAGTGATTTCCCTGGAATTCCACCAGCAACTCGGCGTAGTCTTCCGCACCTGGATTTTGACATTTGCAGAGATTTGTGGCGGCCACTTGAGGGGCTCCACGATCGCATTCGCTCCTGATTATTGTACACAATCTAATTTTCGCCATCCGTGCTCACGCGTTCCAAAAACAGCTCATTTCTATTTCGTTTGAGCAACGAGTCGCACCTGAAGCGAGGTCCATCACATTGTGCTCGCTCATTTTGCGAGATATCCAGACATCAAGGCGTTTTACAAAATCAAGTTTCTGCAGATGGTCATAGATGGTTGATTTCAAAATACTAAGCCCTTGTTTTACTTCACGAGTAGTGATATGCCGATTCGCTTCGGTTCATATTTTGATTTGGTCGTTTTAAGTGATGATGGTCTCCCTGAAGGTTGCCGGTCTTCGAGGGTAAATTCACTCCGATTGGATTTCGCAAACTAGCCATGCACTGTACTTTCCTCTAGAGCATGGCCACTCAAACGTCATATACCTTTCTTGTGGCTTGAGCCGCACCCTAAGCCTTACGGTAGAAGAAATACTTCGGATGCCGAAAATGCGCGCAGTGGTTCTCCATTTTCACACAAGTCTTGTACATACAAACTTCAATAAATGTTGACAGAATCCCAACAGGAATATAGAGGAGGAACTACTCTTTCAGAAAACATGTGATTTTATGAGGTTGGGATCTTGAACTTTTGTACAACAGTCGGTGAACCGAGGGTGTTCAAAATCGGCGGAAACTTTCCGGACAACCCAATATAAAAAAATGCGCAATGAAAATCTCTTCCTAATAGACAAAACTGTTTTGAGAAATCTCCTATAGTAGTGGAGAAATGAATGGACAAAGTCAACGCGCATTCCTTTCCGAACAACCTAACATTACTCCATCACTTGCCTAACTCTGGAATGACAATCTTTGAAGACTTTCCTGGCATAAAGCCGAGCTGTTCCTGTGATATTGTGACAAGTTTCCTATATTTAAGGTGGATTGAGCATTCGCACAGCTTCATGGTATGCGCAGTCAGCCTGATTACAGGTAGTTGGAACCATGCCATGCATACCCCTGCTGCTTTATGGTTGGGACGACAGTACTGCTCCTCTGCTCGTCTGGTATCACTCCTTCAGTGAGAACCGTGTTAAGAAATCTACCTATTCCACCTAATCCACATAACCCGCGTGTTTTCGATGTCTCCGTTAGTACAACGTAAGGACCAATCGCCACTCCAATTTTCATCTTCCCTATTGCTCGACGGACCTCATCTTCTGCCCAGAGTGCAATAAGGTCAGCCGTCGCCTGTATCTAGGGGCTGTTCTTACAGTAGTATTTTATACTTCGTTTAGAGCCTTTGAGGGACTCTACTTCTGCGATAGCCACACTATTTCTTTTGGTGTTTTCTCCGCTGTGTAAAAGCTTGACGTTTTCTGCGATTTCTCTAGCCTTTTTGAAGCGCTTTTCGCGAGAGCATATAAATTGAATGTTCTGCACATTACTAGATTGTATATCTTTCAGAGCTCAACAGTAAGGGTTCCACGCTAAAATTGCGAACTATATTTTCTGGCCGAGGTCATTCAAACTTGTGCGGGGAATCCTGTGCGCTTTTTGCGGGTGATGTCTAAGCTTTTATAATGATTTCTCTGAATTCCTTTGACATATTTTTAAGACGAGGGTTTATCCATCGCCCGTCCTGTCAAGCGGGGCCAGACACTGGTATTGAAACGATTTTTGCAATTATTTTACAAGGCATGGTTTTTAGCTCCATTTAGTCTAGGCCGCACTTACAGAAGAATAAGCTTCGGAGGCCAGCCTACCGTCAGACGCGACGTCGATCCAAGTATCGAAGATAGATGCACGCATGAGCTCAGTGCTGTTAATCGTAATAGTTTATTTGACTCTTAGGTCATGTACTCGGTCGTGGTATCTAAACTGTAGAGGAATCATCACCAATATAAACAAATGCTGCACACTTAATTCAAGCTTATATATGAGGCATGAGGTAAGCTTCTATCAAATATCATGCAATCATGTCGATTCTTCCTGTGACTTTTTGCACAGTCACAGGAAGAACCGACATGCCTTTACGACGATATGAGCAGGGAAATTATTACGTCAACAGGAAAGAAAGCAGTAGTATGTAATCTGCCGTGCTGTGAAAGAATATTTTATGATTCACGCACGAAAGCAACCGCAGAACGTGAGTTCTCCGGATACATTCTCCTGAGCTTTACGGTATCACCCACAAACATCTCATTTCTTGAAACAAAAGTACACTGCTACTCTTCTAACTGGGTGAGGTAGAAGTATTTTTGATTTTTTATAAGGATAATTTCGAACTAGCTCAAAATTTTCCACCTGTAGAACCCTTCTAGTCAGTTCTCATCCTACCATGAGAACTGATTTTCGCACTGTGAGCACGGGTAACTTAACTGAGCACATGTTTGCAGTATCCAAAGCATTAAAGCGCTCGATGAGTGCTGTGAGACCGAAGAGTTCCTTCACTAAAACCATTACATCTGAATAGAGCTATTACTGCAATCATCTAATAGCAAAAAGTTTCTTTGGTTCAAGTGACATTGAACTCATTTTTGTCAGATCCGTGACACAATCAGCTCACTCAACTGATAACGCAAATACAAAGGAATTATATGACGCAATAATCCGAAGAAACCTGCCAAAAAGGAAAAAAAAACAGGTCAGGAACAGTGATTAGCGGAACTGCTTTTTACACTCTAATCCCTAAATGTTTGAAAGTGACTGATACTAGTGCTCTTTTCTTTCTAAGTAGACTTAGATAAAGTTGAACGTCATCGCGTTTTGCATTTTAAGTAGAAAGACATGTCGACTTTTTCAAATTCCGAGATGGTTCACTGGAATTCTACTGGAATTTCTACTTTCTTGGCTTTCAAATACTAAAAAAACTGTTCTACAGGATAAGAGCCTTTCACGTCGCTGCACAAAATTTGTTATAATCATAGTTATATCTAACCCACTGTCGCGAATACATTCGGGCTGAACGTCATCGCCTCAACTCTCTATTGGCGCGTGACAGATGAATAAATTGTAGGAGAACTCAGAGCCGACTAGGTTTTTTATTGCATATTTCATTTCTTTTTATCCAATATAAATGACTTCACTACCTATTAATGTTGAGGCACTTCTGAGCTCTGCTCCGCGCATATGTGAAATAACTGAATCTGAACGAAAAACCTTTCTCTCTCATCATAGATTAACTCTTCCCTTACTAAATCTTCTGAATTTCTCTCGCACTTCTCTTATCGAAGTCAAAGATAATCGCCTGGTGACATTTGATTGCCCCAAATATAAACAGACACTGATGAGCTCCGAATCTTCTTAAAAATTGCGACAAAAATGGCAAGTTTTCTCCTTGTTCTCTTTCAGGATATATTCCCCTCATATATGTTGAACAAGCGAATAATAGAACCTGTTCCAGAAGCACATAGTGCTCGCACTTTGTCTCTATCTATGTCAAACACTAGGAGCAGATACAGATGGTCAGTTGCTACACATTCTAGCATTATAAATATTTCTTTGATGACACAGTCATCATGGTCATTCCTTACAGACCCTCAAGAAATCCCATTGCATGCACAGATGTTGACTGGTGCACCACTGGTCGAGTAACTCCGTAAGAACCAGAAACTTCTTGAAGTGGATCATTCTTATTGAAAGTACCCCCAAATTCTACAACAGAGCGTAAATTTTTGTTGCAGNAAATTAATGGATGTGGCTTTTGCAAATGCAAATCAGAATTTGAATCCTGTTGTCAATGATGACAATGACACCGGTGCTGACCTTCCGGAAAAGTAATTCTCTATCTTCGTTGCATTACTTCTATCATTAGCTCCGCGTAGCCCTTTATGGAATCAGAGCTTTGGAGCAGTCGACATTAAGGAACCCTTCCAGTTTTGCTACCAGTCAGCCAACTTCCCTTCAAGCTAACTATGTCCTTGATGCGGAGGAACTTCAAAATCGGATGATCAGTATCCTTGATATCATTTTTTGCCATAGGCAAATCGAGGATATGGCTATCTTGGTTGAATTCCTCCTTTTACGGGATAGACTTACCTTTGGAAAAGATAGGCGAGTTTTACTGCGTGCAGTTGCTCAAAACAGAAGAAATCATAAGCTTGAGGAAGATATGACACAAACGTGTACTGCTGCTCTTTTATTGCGCAGCAACAGCAGCAATAAACTGGATACATTTAAACAAGGTACATTTACAGCTACGATCCCCGAATTGTTTGGAAAAACTGTTCATCTTTCCGCACCATCCGAGACCAAGCAAATTGCGGTGAGAACCTTTAGCTTGACTGCTCAGGGAGCAAGTCATATGAGCGAGTGGTGTCCTATGTGTTACAGGAACATATAACTTTAGGCTCATGCTGGGCACTCTCCACTGCAGCTGCGATTTCGGATCGTATTTGCATAGCCACCAAAGGGAAAAAGCAGGCACGTTTGACCTAATGCTTTGCAGCTCCTTTTCAATTCAAGGGAGCAAACTTCAGGTATATGCCTCTGATACTGATATTTTGACATGCTGTGGAGCACGATGTGGGAAGAGTGGGTATGATCTTATGAGTCGTTATAATATAATAAATGAGACTTCTTCGGGAGGCTTCTTTCCATCAATAAAAACTATTTTCTAGTTTAGGTGTAAAGGAGGGCAGGTCATGGAAGCCTGGAAATTCTTCGAATATGACGGAGTCGTTTCTGGAGGACCTTACCTTGCTAAGGTTAAGTCTCTGCGAGCTCTAGATGTGATTTGTAAAGGTATCATGTAAACTGGTATATCATTAGGAATGCTGCAGTCGTTATCCCCTTCATCCTTGTGGACGCCATGGGAACGAAACCTTTTATGGAAAGTGCAATGGAACGGCGCCCACACCGCCATGCAAAAGGAGATGCCAACCTGGCTTCAGGAAAATTTACAGAACGGACAAGCGATACGGTATGTGGTCAGCCCCATACATAGCAACCCCTGTCTGTAGGACATCTATTCAAGAGGGGAATCAAAAATCACAGAAAGAAGTAAAGAAAACGATGGTACATTCAGCAATACTGCGGCGAAATCTGCCAACGTGAATATGAGGCTTGAATTATATGCTAGGTGGGTTAGTAAGACAGTCAGTCAAGGAGCAAAAGACAGAATTTCCTGAAAAAAAAGGTCATGAAACTATCCAATAGTGTTTCAATCCTCCATCCCCCACCTAAAGATCCTGATGCGCAAATGAGGATGTGAAGGAGGCTTCTTCTCCACTCCTAGACGCGGGCAATCGACTCACCCTTACCCACTTTATGGTAGATGCTTCTTGTATATTAATGGTATTTCGAAAGACGCAGAGGTTGTAGTTGTATACTTTTACGCTTAAGCTGACCTGGCCAAAACCAGCACCAGGCGGAATTCTTATGATGCCTGTCTTTGAACAATTTTGACGCCCAAAACCCTAAACTACTACTTTCAAAATCTCTTGTTGGTAGGCACTGCTCATAAACTGTTAGCTGAATGACCGTAATTTCACCATCTACTTTCAAACCTATTTTTTCCACTTTTTGTCCAATTACGCTATTTAAAAGTTTAGGCGAGCTTGGCAGGACTTACAGATTGCCGAATTCTGAGGTAAAAATTCGAAGAGAAATCATGGAAAGAGGGTCGGTGGTTGCCACGTTCTATAGTTTTGACGACTTCTTGCACTATAAGTCAGGAATTTATAAGGTGAGGCACCTGAATAGAGCTCAAACAACCTTTAAAATTGCGCACAGATAGGAATTTAATTTTTGGGCTGCAGTCTCTACAGTGAGAGGAAGATGTTACGAATTAAGACCCATCCCTGAGACCGAAAATCAGTAGTATTTGCTTATAGTACACCGCTGGTATCATAGCAGGCTCTCACGCAGTGAAGATCATAGGATGGGGAAAGGAAAATGGTACGGCCTACTGGATCATCGCTAATTCGTGGCACAATGACTGGGGTGAGAATGGTGAGTCTCAACTACCGTGAAGAGAATGTCATTGATAAAACTGAACATTGTCTGAATGGTCCCACTTTACCGTAGAAATTGCGTGACTGTTAAATACTGCTGAATAGTTGTTACTGCAATGTTTCTAAGACGATGGCCAACCAATCTACCCCATAGCTATTCTTGCTTCCGATAGCTGACTTTATCCTCCGCTGCTCAGCCCCATTTGATGCCTGATCAGCAAGAGACAAAATTTGAGTCTAATAATCAAAAAAAGATGTGCAAAAAGATGTGATCATAGCTGTAAATGTTACCTTCCGGTACAGATGTAGAACATTTTACAGGATTCTTCCGTATGATTCGAGGCATCAACAACTGTGGAATAGAAGGGGATGTAACCGCCGGGATTGTCGACGTTGAGAGTCTCTAAAATAGTGCAAGGTGGAATCAAACGAAATGAATTGAAAGTCTTATCCAGACGCAAAAATGAAGCTTCGAATAAATTCACATATTTGAGAAAAAAGGTGCTTTGAAAAAGCTTAGATAATATATAGATGTATGAGAACGACAACGTATTTACGTAGAATAATGACTAGCGTGATCTCGACGAGCTTATCTCATTTTACCTCCCTCCACCTATTTTCACAAATCACGGTCTTTATGTGAAGTTTTCAGTCGTGGAAATTATAATACATTCAATAAATGGGTTAAGGAAGGGGGGCAGGAGAGATATGCGTTTTGTTAGTGAGCGAAGACCTTTCCAACGTCGCTATCTATATTCGATGCTGTCGCCAAGAGATACGCGTATTGCCTAAAAAATGAACCTTCGGATCAAATTTTAATTAGGGTGATCCTGTTTAATTCACCGAATAGGTAACTGAAGCCGTCACTAAATTCGAAGTCTAATTAGTGAATATGGGAAAAAATCCCACTGAAACGTCGATACTTTGCTCCACTTTTCTAGGGGAGTTATTCAAAGAGGATAACCATACAGAACGTTGAAGTGCAAAAATGAGAGATCAGAACTGTTGCATACTACGAGGATAAGAGCCAGATCCGGAAAAAGAAGTGGCAGCACAGATATCAGATTTACAATCGGTTACACATTTTGAACCATTTCCTGTAAGATGTTGGGGAATGCATTCCACCTACTCTACATGCAAAATTACTGTATCATACTAAAGCTTAAGCAATACGTCTAAATCAAGTGTATAATGCGTTGCTGTCAACGTAGATATCAGTTCTCAAGATACATCAAATCTCGATAAAATATTTTGAGTGCTCCCATTGTAATCATACCATTCTTCAAATCCTTTTAAATACACACTTTGGTACTTCGTTGGTCCATCGGCAAGAGGGTCTTCTAAACGGGGACCACAGCTCCTCTATACCGCCCGATCATTCGCGAGTTCCATCCAATGCAAGCCGTTTTCTCTGAAATGTTTGGAAAACAAACCGGCCCACCGAGTCGGAGGACGTCCTGACGGTCCTGTTTTATTTCTTGGAAGCCAACTGTGACTCGGGGACTCCATCTGTCATCTGTTTGACGAGGTAGATGACCCGCCCAGCGGTGCTTCGAATGTGCCATATATTGAAGCGGGTCTTTCAAGCGCGATCTCTCTTTTATGTAGGTCTTAACTTCGCAAGCCTTGCTGTCACTGTTGGCGTCGACTGATTTTCAGAAAACTTCTTTCCAATGCGCGATGAGAAGTCCTTATGGCTTTTGCGATTATTTTATTGTCAGGCCACGTTTCAGTCGCATCACACATCGCTGGGAGTACTGAGCCGCTGAATATCGATGCCTTGACGCAGGGATCGCTGAATTCGTCTGTCACTTCACGGATCGAACCAAAAGCTGCCCATGCAGCACGTCTTCTTCGATTTAGTTCAGGAGGAATATTGTTCGTCATGTTCAGCTCTCTTCCCAGATACATGTAGGATTCAAGTCTCTGCAGAGCCTTCCCTCTAATCTTACTGTTCCCGTATCGCACCACTCGTTGACCATTGATTGCGTTTTGGCCATAGTCATCTCCAAGCCTATCCGCCACATTGGTGAAGCGACAAAATGAATTCTTCAACATTAACAATGTGCGCTCCCACGTATCGCAAAAGTGGCGAGAGCAAAAGGAGCAAGAGCCAGCTCAATCCGTCTGCTGGTCCACCACAAGATGCAATAATCGGTCTCGTCTTGATTTCATTTACTGAGAGGTACAGTGTGTTTGTTGTTGTCGAGATTTTGTGCGTCTTCACCAAGTTGTAAAGCGTTGGCACCGATGGAACCGTACTGTACAGTCGTTTTGCCATTTCAGGGCTAGTCCGTTTCTTCACTATCGACATAACGCTTTTCACTCTCTTGCACGCTGATTCAAACGCGGACAAAGTGCTCCGTATACGGTGTCATCTGAGAGCACTTTCGCGGTGAGAGCCTTATCCATCGTTTGTGACATCACTACGAAGGAGCCACACTTGTCTTCAACAGTATATCTCAATACATTCTTGCTTGCAGTAGCTTCTTCACCCCTCTGCGTTCAGCTGGGGTCAGGTTACTGCGATAAGGCTCATTCATCGCGTTCCG